TCCCATATGGATCCTACAGACCATCACCTATGCTCCCATATGAATCCTACAGGTCATCACCTATGCTCCCATATGGATCCTACAGGCCATCACCTATGCTCCCATATGAATCCTACAGGCCATCACCTATGCTCCCATATGGATCCTACAGCCCATAACCTATGCTCCCATATGGATCCTACAGGCCAACACCTATGCCCCATTTGGATCCTACACACCATCACCTATGCTCCCATATGAATCCTACAGGCCATCACCTATGCCCCATATGGATCCTACAGGCCATCACCTATGCCGCATATGGATCCTACAGATCATCACCTATGCTCCCATATGTATCCTACAGGCCATCACCTATGCCCCATATGGATCCTACAGGTCATCATTGATGCCCATACACAGACCCTACAGGCCATCACTTATGCCCCATATGGATCCTACAGGTCATCATTTATACCCATACACAGACCCTACAGGCCATTACCTATGCCTCTACATGGATCCTACAGGCCATCCCTAATTCCTGTACATGTAGCCTACAGAATGTTCAACTACTGTCAGAATTAAATCTAGCTTCATCCCGATGAATCATCACCAGCATTCCATGTGGTCAAGGCTGCTGCAGCAGCTGTCACTACTCTGAGCTGACACAGGACGTCCGGGATCCCTCCACTCATTGTGGCAATGTGACATATGGCAGGGGTTGCAAACCTGGACGCATCACTATGCTGGTTATGTTATTGATGATTATGATGATGATGTAGATGATGGTGATGGCAAGAATGACGTCAACAATGAAGTCCCAAATAAACACGAGGACAATATTTTCCCACATTTGTACGACAGCTCAGGCCCAAACTGAGACCCATGCCTTGCACAGACCGACCTACTGCCCCAGCAACATCACACATTGATCAGCATACCACAGTGAAAGAGAGCTTGCATCATGATCCTCATCCAAAGCAGGGCACACAATATAGTGAATATGGCAAGTACTATTAAAAACCCTACCCATTTGCCCAATGGTCCACACAGCTGGCAATGTAAACATAGTCAACTAGCACGGCCCTGTTTGCAAATCAGACCACCACTTATCAAGGTACATACACATTCAAATGGAATCATTGTCCTAATGGCCCGGTCACCAGTTCTCCATCTCCCATGTCAGCACTATCAATTCTCTCATAACTCCCAGTCACCATTGCTCATTATTCAGCTTCCACAGCCTGATGCTAACCAGCTCTACAGAGACCTCTCATCTGAGGCCTCTAAAGGGAGATATCATGTGACCCTGTTCCAACATGACTGTCATGGAGGAATGACTGAGCTTCATTTATGTATGATGAGAACTGTCATCTTCAGCCCTGGTAATCATGGTAATTGCCCTTTACTGTGTGGATACATCTGTATCCAGTATCCAAGAAGTCTAAGTTATCACTGTCCAGAATGCAGTAAGTGAGTGAGTAAGTAAGGTTTTACGCCGCTTTTAGCAATATTCCAGCAATGTCACCGCGGGAGACACCAGAAATGAGCTTCACACATTGTACCCATGTACCAATCGAACCTGGACCTTCGGTGTGAAAAAGCATAAGTCTAAAATAGAGTTATCCATCACCATATGTACAACTTAAAACAAATATAGAAGATCTGATTGTGCTAGGCCATTATTATTATTATACACATTTGTATTATTATATGTTTTATTGCTCATCATATATATGTGATTCATTATATATCTTGTTTATGTAGTTTATAGAATATTGTCACTGTTTCTGTATGGAACGTTTGCACAATAAATATTTGATTTGATTTGATTTGATTTGATTTTATAGTATGTCTAAGAGAGACCTATGTATCACTATTCATTGTCAAGTAGTCTTGTTCAAAACTATCCATCACTTTAAGGAAGTCTAAAAGAGACATGTCCATCACTATCCACAATAATGTAGTCTAACAGAGATCTGCCCATCACTATCCACAATAATATAGTCTAAAACAGGCCTTTCAATCACTATCCAGTATGAAGTAGTCTATAAACAACCGATCCATCACTATCCACTCTACAATAGTCTATGACAACAGTCTTCTATCCATCATACCAGGAACTATCCATCACATACACAAGTCTGTTCCTTAACGATCCATCTCCCAGTCGAGTAATCAAGAACTACAACCAGAGTTGTACAATTATCTCTCCATTCACAATTTACAGGACCAAGTTCCATCGCTGACAGCATTACCAACACGCACACACATTCTGCAGCCAAGGTTAAGCGAGTGGCCATCAGACTCGGTGTAATTTGTTGATGGGATGGCTGGAAGCCAAGATGGCCTGGAGAAAGGGGGGAACATGAGAGGGCAAGGAGCCACGTCCACAGAAATCTCAGGGCTGATCAGGGACCTCTCGCCCTCAGTCCCAGCATCCAAGCTTCATCTGATGCTCTCTCCGAGCCCTTGGTACACATTATGTAATGGGGCACAATCAACATGCTTCATGAGTAGGTCCAGCACTTTCAGGAATGTGGTGCCAGGAGAATGGATGGGGAAGACCAGAGTTCCGGAAATGTATCCTTCAGCTCTGGTCACTTGTTGAACATAACCAAAATTACCAAATTCTAAGCGTTTTGTTTAAATGTAACATGAACATACAACATGACATGATGAGACAAGCCAGAATCTTACCCATCTGGATACCAATAACATTAGCACTACGAGTCTACGACTGTCCTAAGACTCTGATCTAAGGTATAGGAGTTACAATCACACAGAAGAGCTAAGATCACTTTGTACAATAGCACTTTTTACTCTAATGTTAAACAGAACCTTAAAGTAGTGCTGCCCATCTTATCTATGTTGTTCATTCTTCATTCCCTTTCCAGGTTAGTATTTACATGGACAGGAGAAAAAATATTTATTTAAAAATCCAACTTGATTAGTTTTAATTCAATAATTTTGTTATAGATATTTACACAAAGTGTACACATCGTTTTTTCACTGAAGAAAGTCTCAGGGCTCCTTTTCATTATATTTTTTTTTATTTATTATGAGCTTTTTCTCTTTAAAATATTTTCATTTCAGAGGCTAGTTGTTAGTCTAAGTATTGCCTGGTCTCTCAAACAAAAACGGGGCGGTGGGGTAGCCTAGTGGTTAAAGCGTTGTCTCGTCACGCATGAGACCCGGGTTCGAATCCCGACATGGGTACAATGTGTGAAGCCCATTTCTGGTGTCCCCAGCCGTGATGTTGCTGGAATATTGCTAAAAGCAGCGTAAAACCAAACAAAAACAATAAGAAACACATTAGGTCTACAATGCTGTTGCTAGTCTGGATTTCTACGATCTGAAAATGATGAGATTCTCCTTTTCTTTCTATTATCTATTAAAAGACAATTTTAAAAATCTCACAAAATGTGTAACTTTCATATTCAACTCAGGAAGGCATGACAGAATCTGTAAGACATCATTTCAGACAACACAACCAATCCCTATAGATACCATCAAATCGGACATCCAGCATCTCCCAAACAGTGCATCTGCTCAGCATCACGCAATTAAGCTCAATATGCCTCATCACCTTACTCAAACATCAAAGAACATTAATCCACATTAATGCACGTGCATGCACATGCAACCATATGCACATCCTGCATCCATTACAGTTCCTGACACACCAAGCATGCATTAGCCAACAGACAGGCTCTCTATCATAAGGAGGCCTCTCAATGGTGCAGTCTTTCATCAATAACAGATCCTTGGCTATTCTTGTGCAAGATTTGGTCGCAATGGAATAATAAAATTGTTATGTCAAGATATTCTGGGCATTACTATTCTGGCACTTGGAGCTCGGATCAATAACAAATGTAAATTGGCCCTTCGACTGAACATCATGTCTGATGACCTATACAAAGCAGAATTAATCACCATTCATAGACTGACTGTCAGTCAAATGTCCTCAAGAGTTTCTTCGGTCCTATATATACACTGATCAATGAAAATTTCATCCAAATGTAGCAGGGCGTGGAGTCATCCCACAGATGACATCCTTATTTTGTCAGCTTGCTGACGAGGTTAACCTCTTTGGTTATGTGGACAAAGTGTCTGACTTTGGATGAGAAGGTCTGTGGTTCCAATCCCAGCACAGGACTCGGAAATTTCATGGCAGCTACACAAAGCTGATACATTTGAATATTTCCACTCCAATTTCCAACTCTGTAACAGATTCGTGGTTTGTGACAGGTTTATTATCAATGACAGATATTGCTACACATGTATGTCCACTTCGGTAGTTTATGAAGATGTCGGACATGAATACATTCTATCACAAACAAGATCGTAACAAAATGCTGTCAACGGTCCAAAATACCAACAGTTTTATCAATTTGTTTGTGAAGTAATAGATTCAGAAAGATATTTAGCTTGTTGTGTCAGTCAGTTGTTGAGTGAGTGAGTCAGTTGTTGAGTGAGGGAATAAATGAATGAGTGAGTGGGTCAGTTGATGAGTGAGTGGGTCAGTTGTTGGCATGGTGTGAGCAGGTAAGTGAGGTCTAAGTTACTTTATCGTTATCACCAAGAATCCCTCATGCAATCATTGGGGTGTTCAGATTCACCCCTGCCGGCTGATGTTGCTAACATCGCAGAACATTGATTACCTTCTCGAGCTTACTGCAATCAGGTCACGTTCAAGACGATCTACAATTTAGATATACTCTACATCTAATGGTGTGTGGAACTAAAAATTTGAGTCTATATATACTCTCATGGCAGTTCATAATCTCTAACTTTGAAATTCCTGGTATACCAACATACCCCAGTGGCCATGAAAATAGCTCACTTATCACAGACAGATAATCCTGATGTGAAATCTGTCTGCCATCCTGGGACTTAAACCCGTCTGCCAGCCCGAGACTTAAACCCATCTGCCATCCTGGGACTTACCCGTCTGCCAGCCTCAGACTTCAGCCAATCCATTCACAACTAACACCATCCCACCTAAACATCCATCCATGACCACCACCACCCCAACCATCCACAACCACACCACCCCAACCATCCACATCCACGACCACACCACCCCAACCATCCACGACCACACCACCCCAACCATCCACGACCACCACCAACCATCCATGACCACACCACCCGAACCATCCACCCACAACACACCACCCCAACCATCCATGACCACACCACCCCAACCATCCACGACCACACCACCAACCATCCACCCATTTCACACCACCCCAACCATCCACGACCACCACCACCCCAACCATCCACCACCACACCACCCCAACCATCCACCCACCACCCCAACCATCCACAACCACACCACCCCAACCATCCACGACCACACCACCCCAACCATCCACGACCACACCACCCAACCATCCACCCCAACCATCCACCACCACCACCTCCACCACCCAAACCATCTACGACCACCAACACAGTCCCCCAAGTTCCCAGTGCAAGTTATATTCAGCTGGGTGTCTATTCGTGTGTTATCGTCCTGTAGATAGGTAGAACACAGGTACAACATTCCACACTGAGGTGAATCAGCCAGCTACAGGTACTAGCAGTGTTTTCCCAGTTACAGAGTATACATAAACACACCACAAACACACTACCAACTTCCTGGCAATCTTCACTGACACTATATTTTCCAAACAACAGCAGCACAAACTTCACATAAGGAAGCTATGTAAAGGAAGGGATGTAAGTGTGAGTTTGTTTTTTAACTCAGAAATATTCCAGCTATCTGGACCAGACAGTCCAGTGATTGACATCATGAGCATCGATCTACGCAAATTGGGATACAGTGATGTATCAACCAACCACCCGATCCGCCCGATCCCATTACGCATGGGTTGCTGAAGACCAATTCTAACCCTGATCTTCCCAGGTCTTGGGAGTGTTGCTGATATTGTGGATTCTGCTTTTCACATTAGTTTTTTAAAACATTTGAGTTTGATCACAATGATCAAACTGTGATACATGCACAAAGTTTGTTTGATTATTTGTTGTTAAATGCCATACACAACAATGTAGAGCCATATAATGGAGATTTGTAAACAATCGAGTCTCGAGTTTGCTTACATTTTAATTCACCCTCGCCACACCCTAGAATATCTCATTCTAATTCCCTCCCAGATTTACAACTACAAAATTCTCAAGCTCTTTTTTCAACAAACTCTTTGTGTTTTTCTGTATTTGTTATTTATTTCTTAAGGGTTTCACTGACCAGTTTGTTTGAAGGCAGAGAATCAGAAATAGTTTCAGGTTTATGTCAACAAAGAAATCTTGTCTTAGTCACTGGGCAATTCTCCTGACAGAGGAATAATTAGCTGAGGCAGCATCACAAATCTTGAACCATGGCTGGAGCCAGTAATCTGAACATTATGTGTATGTATCATGTTGTAGTTCCAACCCTAAGGCATTGTCTTCAACGCGTTCTGGAGCTGCTGCTCTTCCAGAAGGGACACCAAGTATTGGGGCCAGAAATGATGTTCTGCAAATGTTTTTAATCCACATCACGTTTTAGTTTTGAATTGAAATATCTGTCTGAACTGTGAAATTTAATACATTTTTTAGAATTGGTTTGATGATGAAACTTTCAAGTGAGTGAGTGAGTGATATTTTATGTAAAGTTTCAAACATTCCAGAAATGTGTTTGAGGGCAACTTGAATCAAACATGGGAATCAAACCTGGAGTCCACATGACAAGAAACACATTAACCACTAGACTAACACATGCCTGCATCACAGTGTAACACATTCTATAGTTGTCATTATTGCATCAATGAGTGATGAGTTTAGCTTTACTCCACTTTTAGCAATATTCCAACAATACCATGGCAGGGGACACCAGAAATGGACTTAACACATTATATCCACAAGGGGAATTGAACCAGGGTATTCGACGCGATGAGCTAACACTTTAACCGCTTTGCCCCTTATTGTATCACTGTATTAACGGACTGACTGACTGACTGACCATGGCAGGTTTCTACACCGCTTTTAGCAATATTCCAGCAATATCACGGCGTGGGACACCAGAAATGGGCTTCACAAAATGTACCCATGTGGGGAATCGAACCCGGGCCTTCAGCGTGACGAGCAAACGCTTTAACCACTTGGCCCCTTATCATTGTATTAACAACAGGATATCATTTTAATTGCCTATGAGAAGCAAGTGATATCACCACTATGCCTACCAAAACGAGGGATTGTATTGAGAATTAGGTGTCAAAAATGGCTGCTGAATGTCAATAGTAAACACATACACTTCAGAAACAATACACATCACAATAATTATGACAATCAACATCAAATACAAAAATAAATAATTAATTCTTCTCGTAATCATGATAATATCAAAGTCCCAAGCAACACTCCAGCTTTAGAAACAATACCAGTGACGACCATTAATATACAAACACACTCTAAAATCTTTTCAATTTATCTATTCACTGACCTTGATCATGAGTGGATCACCTTGACTGACAAAAAGCCATCTGATACAACGAACCTGGGACTGACACTAATCACTTCTTGCAGGCAACGAGATGACAATGTAATGACTACACGCGACAAGCAACATTTCAGTATCTACATACAGCTTATCTTATTGAAGTATGTGTGTCTCGGGCTTTTCCTATCAGATTAATTGATCCATGCTTTTTTGTAGTTGTATCGCATGTGCTGCGTGGAAGACATGCTGAATCAGGTTAGACAAGATGACTTAATTGGCTAGTGTGAAACTAGTGAAAATCTCAAATGACTTGTTCTCCAGTAACTAGCTACTACTAGCTACTAACAGTAACCACAAGCTCACAGAGAGAGAGAGAGAGAGAGAGAGAGAGAGAGAGAGAGAGAGAGAGAGAGACACAGAGAGAGAGAGAGAGACAGAGAGAGAGAGAGAGAAAGACAGAGGCAGAGAGAGAGAAAGAGAGTGAAAGTGTGTGTCCCTGTGAGTCAGTCAGTGGCTTTAGATATAACAACCAAAATAGAAAAATATACTACTTTTGAAAATCAACCTCAAACCAATACTTATTTGTGGTTTCTCACATTAAACATCTTTCTTCACAGAAGAAGAAAGTTGATACAATGTGAAATTAAATTGCAATGGCCTCACAACACAACCAACAGAAAACGCCATATGCATCTTCCATCCCACTGCCTAACATATACCACTGAAAACCAGAAGGACACTTGAATCGATTGTCATTAGAAGTATATTATCACCCGTTTTAGTAGCAAATAACAAACCCACACAAAACATTATATCCAAAATCCAAGAGCTGCACTTGGCAAAAATGTATCGCCACATTCTATCTAAAACAGCAATTGTCATGAACATGACATTCCATGCATGTCATCCACTGTATCGATCATCATGCAATTTTAGCCATTGGTTGCTCTAAGCAAATCCCCAAAACAAATTAACACCCTCAGACGCTGTCGGCCATTTGCATAAGCAAATCAACATACTATTTTCCTACAGTGTGTCAGTTTGTCTGTTCGCGAATTCAAGTCAGTGTACCAGCAGTCCCTTCCCACAATCCCTCACACAATCCCGACTGTTTATTGATCGAAACCAAACGCACATGCTGGAGTAATGGCGTCTGCTCAGTGCTCGTGGGTTGATTCCGAAATAGAAGGCAGTACGATCAATTTGCACTGCGTAACATATCATTGTTTATCATGTTCGTCAAGTTGGTGTAGCTTGCAGGCACTTCAACTGTCTTCATCACAACATCCTATTTCCACAACTACTTCAGAGCTACTTATTTCCACAACTATTTCCACAACTACTCATTTTCACAACTAATTCCACAGTTAAACTTTGCCATCTGGCCAGGAAATTAATTCTCCCAGAATGCATTTGGACTTCAGTCCGACATTTTTCACTAAATTGAACCTAAAAAAGTGTTCATAATTTTCTTTGCATGTATGATTCCATAAAAAAGAAAAAAATTGGTGATGGATTACAATTTCCTGATGCAGATAACAAAATGTGCAGAGGCTTGTGTTGCTGTCTTGTGTCGACCGATATCACTGCTTGTGTATTATCTACATTTCTTAGGACTGCATGGTATTGCTGGTATATTGGAATATTACACCTTTCAAATGATACATACTGCAATATTGTTATATGAGAGAGCCGAATATTTATCAACAAAGTATAAAGGTTATGGATTATCTCTATGGTTAAAGTTAAAATCAACACAGACTTTCATTCACAACAGATGCTTCCCTTCGAAATTTATTGACAAAACTGCTATAATCGTTATACTGACTGACTGAGTATGGTTTTAAACCGTTTCTAGCAATATTCCAGCAATATCATGGTGGGGGACACCAAAAATGGGCTTCACAAACTGTACCCATGTGGGAAATCGAACCCGGGCCTTTGGCGTGAGGAGCGAACACTCTAACCACTAGGCTACCCGAACCGCACCCTATAATCGTTATATATGATACAATAAAACAACAAAAAATACTATAATGTGTTTACAAAACAAAAACAAAAAATCCCCAACTACATAGCCTAAGTTTGAGATTGCTGTCATAAGATCCATAGCATTTCTTTTTAGGGTCTTAGTAAGTAGAAAAGAGGACCTGTTTGTACAATCAGTGTCACTAACTGTCACACACTGAAGCTCCGAATATACCCCAATACGTACTGCAATACAAATACCTCAATCTTAATATACTGCAATAGAATTTACTTGCCAATATACAGCCCTAACATTTATTATTGTGTAAGTTAAAATGATCAGTCTGTGAAGTTATTCTTTTAATAATCAGTTTAAAACATAATATCTAGATTACGTAAATTTTAAGACCAAGCTGTCCAAATGAAAGATGAGTGTCCTTGAACTGTGATCTTATCTGGCCTTGACCTCATGAAGGATAAAATTACTGTATGTCCATGGATTTATTACTCAGTATAAACTTGGACCAAAGCTATGGGCCAATCATCACTCATAAACCTGAAGGAAATCGCTGATCATTAAACTGATAGTCAATACAACACAAGCCCAACACCTCCACTGTAACACACCTTCAAGGTCAAATGCTGAAATACGAAAATATCAAAATGGCTGAAAACCTAAGTATTACCAGCGTATCATTTGCTCTTATGTCTCAAAGGTCAATCATTTTCCTTTCACAGGTCCTTTCACAGGACACTGGCTTGTTTTAAAAGCTTTCAGGGATAATTTGACTGCAGTGGTAACAGGTTAAACGTACTTGTTGAACCATCAACTAGTCAGTGGCCACAAAACCTCGGAGATTCATTAAACATGACACATATGCCTCATAAATGCTCCACACACACTAACAGACACCCATACACCTTTCTGCTGCCTCTAACCAATGTAAATAAACATCAAGGGTCGTAATGTGGCCATAAATTGTAAAAGAATGAATAGACCCTTTCTTTCAAAGCAGTTGTTCTAAATATTGTCCAATTCACCAGATGTGAGTTGAATTAGCTGACTTAGCAGTTTTCCAA